AAGGCACCGGCAGTGCGCCATAAATGCCGCGTGGTCCATGGGCACGTCCGCCCAGCAAATCCGCTGATTCTCGACTGCCCCGGTCGACGCGCAATGGACAATCCAAGACGGAAGGCCGATTTTTTCGTCGACGGGAATGCGAGCGACTGGGGCAAGAAAAGCCCCCTCGGCGAAACGCCCAGGAAGAACGCCTTCGCGAGAGCTGAGCTCATGGAGCCGGATACCACATGAATCAAGAAATGCGCCCAGCAGAGATCGCTCTTCTGCTCGCCTCTCGTCGGCAAGGTGAGCGGCGCAAGAGGGGCCACCGCGAAGATCACCCCCGCGCGCACCATGGAAAAACAAAAAAAAATGTCGAATGAGGCACCGTCGGCGAGACGCACTCGGAAGGCCCGGCCCTGGGCGACCACCGATCGCAGACAACCCACCCTAGAATTACAAACTATAACTGCGAAGGGCAATCAAGCCCGCTCCAGCGCAGAATCTTCCAGAAAATGACCTGGAAAGTGACGCCGATGATCGGCGCGGAAATGCCCGTCACACTCAGCGAGAAAAACGACTGCCAAATCAGACGCCATCTCGCCAGGCGCGCCCAAGATTGACTCGCACGCCAACTCATCCCCCACCTTCTTCGCCACGTTCAGGCCCACCGCGCTCACGGCGAGAGATTGTCAAGGCTGCCCCTCGCTTCGCCATATCCAAGTCCTCGACGGCGCACCGGCCCCATGAAACCCCTGGCGCCACAGCCATTCCAAGCTTTCGAAGAAGCCCGCAGTCGAGTCGCCGACCCTGACAGACGTCGTGGAGACGCCCTTGGCGACTGCCTGCTTGCCCCCAGTGCGCCCCCCCCGGATCTGCCCCAACACTTCGTGCATCCTGCGCGTCATGCGGTTCGGCCCCTGCCCGTCCCCCGCCGCCCGGGCGTCGAGCCACGCCGCGCCGCCGCCGGCAAACTGCCCGCGCTTGCCCTCCACGAGAAGCCCGGCTCGAGCGAGGACCTGCGGGGGCGAGAAAACAACTTCACATGCAGAACCAAAATCACGACGAGTGCAACAGACGCCCGGAAAGTCTTTCTCCTCGGCGCCACACACGAGGAAGTTCCTGCAGCGCGCCTCCACCTCCGCAGCCGGAATGCCCCAGCCAAGGTTCGCGACATAGGCGATGAGCCGGCACTCATATGGGAGCTCGCCGTCATCCTGGCCCTCGTAGATGCTGGTCTCGGCCTGAGTCTCCTTCCTGATCTCGGCTAGCTCGGCGGCCAGTCCAGCATCACCAGGCGAAAGATCGGCCACTGCAACCTTCGCCAGTCTTTTCTCCAAGGAGGCGATCTTCTCACAGGAACCTGCGGCGTCGCCCCCCACTGCCGCGAGTCGCTCGCGCATGTCACTTTGCACTCCATCGAGCTGTTCTCCAGATAGTCGAAACCCTCATCAGAGACCTTGGCCAATCCTTCCATCTTCTCCTCGATCGCCTGCACCGCGGCGTCCTGCTCCCCCAGGTTGTCGGTGATCATCTCGCCTAGCTCCCTCTTCAAGTTGCATGCGTGCTGACCAACCTGGGGCCCCGCCTCGACTAGGAACTCGCCCTGCCCCCCCCCCCCCGCCCCACCCCCCTCCACGCGCCGCTCGCGGGGGGGGGCAGCCCGTCCACCGGGCCACGAGGCATCGCGAACTTCTCGGTCACCTGCCGCATCATGGCCAGAGTCCTGCCTTTCATTCCAGACGCAGAAGCCATCGCCATCTGAGTGGCGAGAACGCATAATGATGCGCGAATGACAAATGAAACGCTGCATGGGGGCCAGCACTTTGGGGCGCCGATGGGCCCTGGCGGTAGGTCGCGGCCTTCTGGCGCCTTCTCGTGGAGCGCCCAAGGTTTCTTGAGCCAAGGCGGCCCAAGATGGCCCAGGACGGCCAAGATGGCCTGAGACGGCACCACGAGGGCCCCTGAGAATCTCAAGCGAGCTCGAAGCTGGCTCAAGATACCGCGCGACGCCTCAAGAAGGCTCCCAAGGTGCTCCAAGCGGCCCCAAGAACGTTCCAAGGCGGCTCCAAGAGGCACCCGAGACCTCCAAGGAGGCCTCCGAAGAAGCCAAAATCCATCAAAAACCTCCGCTGTCTCCGTTCCCACAGCAGCATCACCCAGGGCGCCTCGCAGCGTCCGTGACTTTTCCGGACCTGTTCGACATCGCACTGCTCCTTTGCCCGCCTCTGGACATAGCCCCTCAGCGCCATACCTGACGCGTCCCCGACGGAGGCTACGCCCTCGGGCGGGCGCTCTCCCAGCTCGGCCTGGACGGGTCGGAGTTAACGCCCACCATCGCCACGAGACGACGGGTCGGCACCTCGACGGTCATCCGCCCGACCAAGTTCCGCCGGTCGTAGACCCCGCCCCTGTAGATCGTCTCAACGGGCACCGCCAGTTCGTGGTCCACACGACAATGGCGCCAGGCCCCATCACACGGAGGATGAACTGCAGCCAGAGACGTGGGTCACCTCCAGCTCGATCCATGTGCTTGCTCACGTGGAGAACTCCAGGCGGGCCTTCTGTCGGCGCGCCCGGGCAACGCTCCTAGCTGGATTCTCGAACCACGTCGCGCCACCGCTCGTGACGCCCCCTGCTCGTCGTAGTCGAACCAGAAGGCGCGAGCGCGGGCGTCCTCTCGAACCCCCCGGCACCATTGCCTGGCGCGCTGCCAGGCAGCCTCGGCCCAGGCGCAGCCGTGCCATGCACCTCTTCGGCGAAGGGCGTCGGCTCTGGCACCGCGAAGGGTCCCAGGCGGCGGCGGCACTCGGATTGGGCGCGCTCGGCAGGCCCGTCCAAGCCTCGCCAGACGGCAGCCTCCGCGGGCGCCGTGACCGCAACGCCTGGGCCTTCGCGCAAGGCCCCTCATATATGGCCAGGCCCCAGGGCGGCGAGCAGTCGCCCGCCCATCCGAGCGACGGCCATGCCCAAGCGCAAGTTGGAGGCCTCGTCCGCTGCCGACAGGGAGCCAGCCACCTCACGCCAGGAGACCATGCGGCCGTCGGAGCTCAGCGCGTCCTGCGGCTCGGGCAAACCAGCGTCGATCTTCTGCGCCGACGTTCGACCCTTGTGGAGCGCATCAACAAACTCGTCGGGCTCCAGCTCTTCGCGGAGACGGCAGGGTGGGCGCATCTTCCTTGTCCTCATCGCCAACGGGAAAGCTCGAGACGATCCCGTCTCAGGGTCCTTGCAGATCAAGTCCTCTGGGTACACGTCGCCATCCGGCGTCTGCACCACCCGGCTCCCTTTTTCACACAAAATCCAGCAGCACCCTCTCGTGGTCCACCTGGTCATCGCTGATATTGCTGGGTAGTCGAAGCCAATCTGGCGCCAATCTGGCAGGCCCAATCTGGCAAACGGGGGCAATCTGGCGAGGGAGCCAACGCGAATCCAGTCTGGCGAATAACCCAACTCATCCAGTTTGGCCAGGCCAGATTGGCCCTTGGGGCCCAATCCAATCTGACAGTCTGGCCTTCGACTACCCAGTATTGCAGACCACGCTCTCACCCGGGAGGGCCCTGGTCCAGCAATCCGACCCCGCGGCGCCGCGGAGTCACGCCGTCGCCGACGCCCTGCCTGCCGCCGACCACTCTCGCCACCAGCCAGTGCACCAAGCCTCCGAACGCCTCGCCCACTGGCCTGTTAGCCTTGTGGATGCCACGACAATGGACACCCTAACAGTTCGATCATTGAAGTTTAAATGTGTTTAAACTGTTGAATAGAGTTGTTCTGAACATGTGTTGAACATGGTTAAAGCATGGCCAATACATGCTTCGGACATGCGGAAATGATTTGGCAACATGCTTCCTCTCCATTGATCGTCCTCCACAATGTCAGCCGGAGAACGAGGAGGAAGAAGAGGAGGACGAAGGTAAAAGGTAAAGGCCCTTGGGGGGTCCATGGTCTCGAGCGCCCCCTCGCGGGGGCTTTGAAACTCGGGCAGGGCCCCTAGGGAATCATATGGATGCTAGCCCCCTTTGTTTCAGGGGGGCAGCCTGGGGCGCCGAGGCCCCCACTCCGTGGCGGGTGGTCCTCGTGCCCCTGCAGCGGGAGACCCCGCTTGGGACCGACAGAGAGACGCACAAAAAAGCGGGCAGGGGGCGCTGCCCCCGTTACTCGGGGGCGCCCGCGGCCCACGGGACAAGGCGCGCGGCGCAGGGCGGCGGCTCGCGGGCCTGGGCAGGCCGGGGCAGGCTGCCACCCCCGGGCCCGCCACGGCAGGCGGGGCGGGCCAGATCGGGGCAGGCGCGCGGCGCGCGGTGCCTGCCCCCCGCCCAGACGCGAAGAAGGCCGCGGCCTCCAGCGCCAGCGCGGCCCACCAGAGGGTTCCAGAGAGGGCCTTTCGGGGGGAGGGGCACTTCTCCAGGGAGCCCCCCCCCCAGGGGGCCGCGGAGCCTCGTCAAGGCAGGGGGCGCGAAGCCCCCTGGGGGACCCCCCTCCTGGAGGACCCCCTCCGCCAAAACCCTCTTTTGGAACCCTCGGGGCCCAGGCCGGAGCAGCGGCGGCGCCCCGACCACGTCCGTCCAGCGCGGGGCCGGAGGAGCCGGCGTGCCGCAGGAAGTGCGGAGCCCGAGGGGCGACAGATCTGAGATCACCCCGAGGCTTCCTTCGCGTGCTCTGTAAGAACGGTTTTTTGAAGGCAGATCTGCCTTCAAAAAACCGTTCTTACAGAGTAGACCAGTCCTTCCTCCTTGCAGGTTTTTTTGAAGGCAGATCTGCCTTCAAAAAACCGTTCTTACAGAGCATGCACAAGCCAGGAGGGCTCCAGGGGAGTCGGATGTGTGGCGGTTCGAGGGAGATGGAGGGTCTATGGTCTTCGAGGCGGTTGCAAGGAGGGGGAGTACAGGAGGGAGGAGGGCGAGAGGGGAGAGAAGGGAGGGACGAGGGAGGGAAGAAGGAGGGAGGTGTAGAGGTAGGGAGGTGGCGATGGAGGAGGGAGAATGGAAGAGAAGGAAAATAGGACGGAGGTGGGAGGAGACCTGCTTCTGGACGCCCATGACGATGCTCTTCACCTGGGCAGATCCGATCGTCCACCCCACTCCCTCGCGCCCGCCCTCCCCATTCCTCTCCCAAGTCCCCTCTCGCCCTCCCAACCCTCTCCACTCCTCCATCCCCATCTATCCCCTCTGCACCCCTCAAGAACTACACAATCTGAATACGTCTATCATCTCCCCCCGACCCTGTCTGGAAGACCCTGGGCCCCCCTCCGCGCATTGTCTTTCATACAGGGTCGGGCCGAGTTGTTTTCCTGTGATTTTACAATCCTATTGTGTTCGGTGTTTCAAAGTGGTGCCCCCTCTGCCGCGTGGAACGCATTTTCGAATCGGCGCTGTGTCCCCGTCTTACACAATGGCGCTCTCGCCCCAACGCGGGCCACTTTTCTGGATCCGAATCATTATACATCGATCCGCCTTCCCCTGGTCCTCCTGCTCCTCCCACTCCTTCCACTCCAGTTCCTGCTGCTGCTGCTCGTCTTCGTCCTCGTCCTCGTCCTCCTCCTCCTCCTCCTCCTCCTCCCTCCTCCTCCTCCTCCTCATCATCATCATCTCATCATCATCATCATCATCATCATCATCATCATCATCATCATCATCATCATCATCATCATCATTCATCATCATCATCATCTCATCATCGTCATCATCATCATCATAATCATCATCATCATCATCATCATCATCATCATCATCATCATCATCATCATCATCATCATAATCATCATCATCATCATCATCATCATCATCATCATCATCATCATCATCTCATCATCATCATCCTCATCCTCATCATCATCATCATCATCATCATCATCATCAGCATCATCATCATCGTCATCATCATCATCATCATCATCATCATCATCATCCTCATCATCATCCTCATCATCATCATCATCATCATCATCATCATCATCATCATCATCATCATCATCATCATCATCATCATCATCGTAGCCATTTTGGCTCAAGGTGGCGCGATCAGGGCAGATGTCTGGTCTCATGAGGCTGGCTCTAGCCGTCGCGTCCATTCTTGGGTCAGATTCCCAATCTTCCAAGCTTTCAGTGAGGCCTTTGGGGCCACAGCTCTTTCCATATTACATCACCGACACCCGGCCTCAGTCGCCCGATTGGGAGCCCAGCCGCGGCGGGCTCGACCAATGGCAGGACGTGGAGGTGGTGCTCGTGGTGCCGCGCGCGGTGGCGGCGGCAGAGCCAGTAGCAGCCGTGGACAGCGGGGCGGCCAAGCTCCAGGCGCGGGCGGCAGCGGTGCAGCGCCCAGGGTCTGGGATTGCCCTCAGTGCGGAGCCAAGAAGAATTGGGGCTCTCGGCACGTCTGCAGGAGTTGCGGCTACGACTGGTGGGAAAGCGGTTCTGGTACGAGTTCTTGGTGGAGTGGCATGTCACAACTGGACGCCAGAGAACGCCACGAGCTCAACCAGTTGCGGAGGAAGGTCAAAAAGTTGGAGACCAGCAGCCAAGCAGGACCAGGAGTCGATGGCGGTGGCGCTGGGGCGGCAGGCGTCGGGTCGCAGCCTGACGACAAGTCAGAACGTGTCCGCCGATTGGGCAAGCTACGAAGTGAGATCAAGAAGATCGAGGGCGTGGACGGCGCGGAGGCCATTCTCGAATCCAAACGGCAGGAGGCGCAGCAGTTGGAGAACGAGTTGGCAGCAACCAAGCCCACATCAGTCCAGCTCAGTGAGTTGGAGCGCAAGCAGAAGAACCAGGAGGCCACCACGGCGGCCTTGGCGAGCAGGATCTCGGCGGCGGACAAGCAGCTCGCTGAACTACAGGCCCACAAGCTCGAGCTGGAGGGCAAACATGCGCAGAGTCAGGCCGGCGAGAAGGAGCTCCAGGCGCTCATCGACAACCTCCTGGCGCAACAGCTCCGCGAGCGTGAAGCACAGCAGCGGGAGGAAGGGCCGCGAGGGACGGCTGCCCCAGCGTCCCCAGGCGCCCAACTCAGCGAGGGTGAGCGAGCCACCGCTTTCCTCGCCGCTCTTAATCAGTGCTCAGGCATGCTCGCCCCTGGCTTCGCTGAGCAATGGGACGGCCAAGTCGCAGAGTTGCGGCGTCTGGCACAGCGCGTTGCCACAGCAGGTGCCGCGGCGGAGCGCGACGGGAGCGGCGACGAGCAGGAGATCGACGAGAAGGACGTCGACGTCATCCTGGACTCCCTGGAGGAAGAGGCCACCGAGGAGGGGGCAGCAGAGGCCGTGGCGGGCGAGGTGGGCAACGGCGAGGCAGCAGGCGACGCTGCAGCCAAGGCCGCCGCAGCCGCCGCCATGCGCAAGCTTCGTGCCCAGAAGCTCCTCCAAGGCCTCCGCTCCGCGGGGATCCGCAGAGGGGGGAAGCGGGGGTAGCCGCCCTCACTTCACCATCGTGAGCCTCAACGGCAGCGGATGGGGCCCTTTCACCACCATCCTCGGCGAGCAGCAGGACCCACAACAGCAGGCGGTGGCGGAGGCGCACCTCGGCGACGCACTGTGCATCCAGGAGCACCACCTCAACGGCTACCGCGCCGTGGAGCAGGAGCAGTGGTGTCGACAGGTTGGCTGGAGCGCCGTGCTGACCCCAGGGGTGAGCTCGGTCGGCGCAAGCCTCCAGCACGCCGTCAGCAGCGGCACTGGCGCGGCCGCGCGCACCTCGCGTGGCACGTGCGGGCCAGGCGCTGGCGGCAGCAAGGACAGCTGCCACGCGGCCGAGGGCCGCGCGACCATCGTGCACATCAACGGCGTCGTGCCTGGAGGCTTCCTGCTGGGCTCGGTCTACCTGGACAACGACGACGTGGGCGAGCACAGCCAGAGCGTCTTGCAGCAGGTTGGAGCCACGCTGAAGTGCACTGGCAAGCCCTGGGTCCTGGCGGGGGACTGGAACGTCGAGCCTGACAGGTTCCACCTCCGCGCGGGGCACTGGCTGCGCAAGCTGGGCGGCCACGTCGTCGACACGGGCAAGGGTACCTGCCAGCACTCCCCCGTCAAGGAGCCATCTGAGCTCGATTGGTTCATCGTCAGCGTAGATATGCTGGACCTCGTCAGCGGGTGCGAGCGCCTCAATATGACGGAGCAGGGCTACGCCAACCCGTGCAGGCCCCACATCGGGGTCAAGCTCTACTTGGCTTGTCAGGGCGACCTTGGCCAGTTATTCCGCGTCAAGGGCCCCCCAGCCTCTCCCAAGGACAGGCCATATGGGCCTATGCCAGCCAAGGAGTGGAACCACGACGAGTTGCGGGACGCTATCGGAGTGGGGGAGGACATGCAGGCCACGGCGGAGGTCTACCGCGCCCTGTGCGAGGGAGTGGAGAACGAGCTCGTCTGGATCTACCAGATCCCGCCCGACGACGCCAGTTTGCACCGTGGCCGCGGGGGCCCGCCGAGCTACAGCTTCGGCACGCAGGCCAAGGCGCGCCCCATCAAGGGGCCCAAGGCCAGCTACAAGGGCAAGAAGCTCATGCATCTGAGCGACTATTTTACGCAGCTCCATCAGCTCGTCGGCGGAGGCTCGGATGCCGTTTCTTCGGCAGGGCTCATCCAGTGCCAACTGGACAACGACGAGCGGGCGGCGGAGCGGATGGAGGCCAGGGCAATCAAGCGCTACAAGCGGGTGCTCGGGCGCCGTGCCCGCGGGTGGGTCTCCAACCCCAGCAACCCCAACCACTACGCGGACGAGAACGAGTGGTTGGAAAATTGCGTGCCCTACATCTTTCGCACGCTGGGGCTGCCGACGCACATTGCGACGGGCCTGGCCCAGAACTTTGGGCGTCGCCTGCAGACGGCCAGGGAAGTATGCGAGTCTGCCTGGCGTCGCGGCGGCACAGGCAGGCAGGAGCTGGTGCGCATTCTTCAGCAGCTCGGCCTTCTCGACCACGACTGCTGGGAGGAGGAGCTGCGCAGGACGGTGGACAGCTACCACGAGTCCAGGCGCTGGCTGGAAGAGCGGGGTGACTACAGCAGGCCCCTCCCAGGCGCGCCCATCGTCCACGGCTATACCGAGACGGAGAATGGCATAGGCGACGTCGCTCCCCTACCACCAGTGCTTCGCAGGCTAGCCACCTGCCCAGTGGACGCGGGGGGGTGGAGTGCCATCGAGGTGGGTAAGGCAGGCGTCAGGCGCACACTGGCGCGACTGGCCAACGGCTGGCTGCCGCGCCTGCACGCCCCCGACGCGCAGCAGGACAAAGTAGAGTGGATGGACCTCTGCACGCACTACGCCTACGAGCGCCCCAGCCAGTACGAGGGTGGCAATGGCGACGAGGGCGAGCAGGTCGGCGGCACAGAGGGCCAGTCTGACGGGGCGGGGATGGGAGCCGCATCTGCGGACGGGGACAGCGCGATCCCACCCCAGCCCCAAGTTAACTCCTTTGCGAGCCTCGCAGCGGCAGCGGAAGCCAGCAGCGCGAGGGCCACTGGAGAGGGCGCCAGCGATGCGTCGGCGTCGGGGGCGGGAAGGGGAGCCGCATCAGCGGAGGGTATCAGCGCGATCCCACCCCCGCCCCCTCGCGCCAGCTCGGCTCGGCCGTTTGGCGAGCGAGCGGCAGCCCGCTGGGCTCGGGCAGTCGACATGTGCGAGGACAGCTGGCAGGCCTCCGAGGGCGTGCGCAACAAGTACGCGCGCAAGGTCCGCGAGTTGGAGGACAGCGACCCCGACGCCTGGGCCATCGCTGACGACGAGCACTACTGCTACCTGCAGGGCGTCAAGCAGTTCATGCGGTACCACGGCGGCAGGCGCGAGGGCAGCGACTGCAGCTCCGACGGCGACGTCAGCAGCAACGGCGACGGAGCAGCGCAAGCGAGCAACAGGGCGCCCAAGCCCCCGTCCACGGTGGGCCTTCCCCCCGGCGCCCAGTGGGCAGCACGCGTGGCCCTGGCCGCCGAGTGCCCCAGCCTGCCCCCCTTGGCCGACTGGGCCGCTGAGGCCAGGGCCGAGGCGGAGGCCGATGGAGCAGCCTTCGCCGTCATTCGTGGCCAGGGCTTCAAGGAGTGGATCCGTCACTCCATGGCTGAAGGCGCAGGCGG